TATACGAAAAGAGGCATTATTTTTTATAACAATGTAATGAACATAACCAAGTTTTTATGCGTTTGATAGAAAATATGTTGCACTATTGAAAAAAGTTATCGATAAATTATGTGGTACTTTTAGGATTCCCGTAGTGGCGCGTGACCGAATAAAAACCATGTGTTCAAGGATTGAGATTCTGATTGATTTGCATTCCACTTTAGGTAGCCATGAACGATGCTGCTCTGATATATATATATATATATATATATATATATATATATATATATATATATATATGCACAAAGAATCTCGAGTTGTAAAATTAATCGAGTGCTTATTGAAATCACATAGTACATTATTAAAGAGAGTTTTTCTCACATGTACACCAAACATGTATGTCAAAGCAACTGAACGTTTTATTATTGTTTACAGTTGAGATAAAAGGTCCTACATTTTCTTAAGAAATGGTATAAACTACTTCTGATACAATATTGGCTTAATAAACTGCAGTGTCCTTGATTAATTTGTAGAATACGAGATTGTAGTTTGATTCCGGACTTCCTTGTAAAGAACAAATATATAATTACTCGTACGTTCATATGACAAGTGTCAATCGGATCTTATCACATAAAATTTCAAGCAGTTACTATTTTTAGTTGATTTTGCGTACAATGAGGTAAAGATATCGTGATAATGCATTCTATAAAGATAAATATACAAATTACCAACGAGTGTTGCTTAACGTTAAATGTATATTTTGAGCTTCCAACCGATCGCCTAAACAAAACTTAATATCAGAATTAAGACTGGTGCCAATTAATTTCCGAATGAATATTACTTTTGATAGATAGTGGGCTCAAGTTACCAAGTATGGAAAGACTGAAGAGTATACCACTGTTGAGATGAAGCTTGTCTTCTTAAGACTTGACTTCAAAGGCAATGAAATAGCGAAACTCATTTCAGATTAAAAGCCATAATAAAAGAGATGTATCCAGCTGCAAAACTGGTTTCTTTGTATCGCACAAATCGCTTATCATGAGTCATGTGTGTACAAATTCCCACCCTATGTATCTAACATTTTACATGTACGTGCCAAAACACATACATCGGAAGAACAGAAATGAAGCCTAGTGTCTGCATCTCGGAGCACATTCCACTTAAACGTAGACTAAGAGGACATGTTTTCAGTAGCGCAATGTCACACTATTTACTTGACAGCAGTCATGAGGTTAATATCTCAAGGTCCTTCAAGATAATAAACAAAGAATATCAAATTTACAACGGTCCGCCGAAGCGATTGTTATAAGATTTAAACGAAACCTCTGCATTCAAAAGGAAATGGATAACAATCTTGCATTGACACGGTAAACTCATCTATAATTATCACATGATTTTTTGTGACTAGTTAATCATTCTCAATTTTTACTTGATCTGTACTGAGTCAATTTTGTTTTAAGAGTCAGATAATTATAACGATAATGTCTTAATTCCAGATAATTCTGTTTCTTTGGTTGTTTATTCTAAAACATTCTTAAATTCAACCAATAAATATTCATATTATTTAACATATAAATATTATTTCTTATAGTCTTCATTGCTGTTTCACTGATCTTCACTGACGAGAAATGTTTTGATATTATGAAATATATACACTACTTTTCAATGATCAATACTTTCATGTTCAGGTTGTAAGCGACTGAAGAGAAACCACGAAATAAAAGGAATCCATGTTCTTCTGATACGTCGATTGTTCTTACTTTCGTCAATAATTATAATTCATATCAATTTACAAGTTGCATTTTGTGATCGACCTGGTCGAAAACAATAACATCAGCAGTTGACATTTAGAAATGTCTCTGTTGACATCTTCAAATAATGTGTAATCAATGCCTTAGGACAAAGAAATGACAATAAAACTATTTAACGGGTATGAGGGTGTACAGTTGGTACGATTTTTTCCAGTCACCAGAAGGGATTATTCAGTTCTCTGTTTAAATGATATACAGATGTTTGCATAACATTGATTTCTGAAGAGTCTTCCATTCACAATTAAAATATGAAGTGATATGCTGAAAATGAAACAAATATTAGTTTAGACAGTTTAAAAAAAAACTACAGTGAGGAGAAGTTAACGCCATATATCAAACCTTTTAATATGCAATTTGTATGGTAGATTAATCAAAACCAATAGCAATTAGTGATTTACTGAGTTCTTGTTTAGTTGCAGTTTGATAATAAAATTAAAACTTGAGGTGAGATATTAACAGTGATCAGTCAAGTAGTCGCAGGTTACGGAGGACCTGATACGAGAGTAAAACTATCGAATTTTTCATACCTGATATTACTGCAGACAGAAAGGAACTTAACAAGACAAGAGGAAGAATAAAAAGACAATTTTAGATGTAGTAGTCAGTGGAATATAGGAAGATAATTAGATAAAATGAAATCAGATCAGGGGATGAAATGTATGAGATTACAGAAGACTCCAGATCAAGAGAGTACAATGTCGATGGATTGTGGTCTATATTATCTATCGTCTTGAAAATTACCAACATATATAACTTTCATGAGATACAACACAGAGCCACAGAGTGATAACTCTCATTATGCTTACTTTTTGATGGGTATGTATGAATAGATTTACTAACAGAAATTTAAATGGTTTACGAATGAGGTTGTATTGTTTAAAGAATGATCGATTTTTGATGGCTAGAGTTTAACGTCGTACAGTAGTAGTTCGTTGATGAAAGAAAAGCAGGGGTAATATGAGCTGCACTTATATTTCCATATTGTTTTTTATTAATTGCAAGTAGCAAAGACCTTTGTGAATACAGTAATGTGAAAAATTTAAGAAATTTTACTGAGTCTGTGAAAACTGGTCACATAGATTACTTTTATGAATTATCGGAATAACAGCGAAATAGGCATGAGTACCAAGTCCCTATGAAATTAGATGCAGCCTTATGGAGTAACAGGAAAGAATATTTGTGGTATTTTGGGCAATATTTTATCGAAATCATAGCACTCTCACTTGCACTTAAGTTTGCAAAACGTTTAGAATCATGAATTTCCTTAATTAACCTCCTCAATAGTGTCACTTTAGTTGCGAACAGTTTGAGTATATCTTTACGCTATTATCCCCATGGCTTAATGATCATGTATAACTGATCGCGTGTTACGACCTACACATTTACTACTCTCACTAGTTTAAATGTTGGTTACTTATATCGCTCGTTCTCCTATGTAGATATGCTTCTTAAATACTATTCATGTGTTATCCGCATGTTTACATTTTTTCGTGCGCAATTATATACCATAGTGATTACTTTATACTGTCTAATGAAATGTTAACACTGTTGACAGCTACTTAATAATGGTCATCAGGATGATCGACATACGAAGCATCAGAATTATATCGAAGATCCCATCGCAAAATAAAACCTTATCTGGTAAAAGTGAAATAAATAAAATCGTATCCCTTTAACTGAAATGGTAGATGAACAGATTGCGACAACTAAGGTTCAGGATAAACTTACTGATATTGATCACAAGCATTTTTGGAAGCACTAATGTATTACATCACAAAATTTGGTGAAATATGAGTGACATTTAAGAGAAAAAAAACTAATATACAAATAAATAAGTCCATTTCACTGACGACTAGAAGAGTCAGATTGTGATTAGATATTACGAATTTGTTCTGCTAGGTAGCTTGATTCATTAATGTATGTTTGCCTAAATAGTTATTATAATTTTATACCTCAGAAACAGTTTAAACTAAAAGACAGCTTTCTTTAAAAAGAGAGAATAGCATCCGTCCTACTATACGGTGTGAAACATGGCCACTAATTGAGAATGTTCGTAGGTTTCTAGTGTTCGATCATAAGTGTTTTCGAAGCATTGCTTGTATATCCTGAGACCACTGAGTAAGAAATGCTGGTGTTAGGAAAAGGGTAACAGGTAAGGATGGCAGACCAATTAATGAGGTATTGAATGTCCATAAGTTCAGGTGGTTGGAACACGTGCTACGTATACCTAACCACCGACTATCTAGACGAGCGATGTTTTCCAATGTAAGGGTAGGCTGGAAGAAAACTAGGGGCGGCCAAACCAAAACATGGCATTGACAAGTGAACTGAGCCATGTTGGTAGGTGTAGACTACATGGTTGCGGTAAGCTCGACAATCATAACCGGTGGTTAGAAACTGAACGATATGGTTCACAATCACTTTTTAAATTGATTCTACTGGGATACACCTTTCGAATATCTTCGATTCTTAATCTTTTCGATTATCGCTAATACTTTTACTAAGTCAATCACTAAGGGATTTGAATTGACAATTCCATTTCTCTGTACTTATGTGGAGTGGTAACCTGAACTTACAGGGGCTGTTACGGGTATGAGGGCTGATGTCACTGCCCAGCTGCCAACACCTCAGAAGGGTACTTGTTGAGGGACTTGATAAGGAGGATAGATTAGCGTTGTTCTTAGAGACCTGGGAGCGTGTCCGCACAGCCCAAGGGACAACTGCTTGAGGCCGGTCACGCATAGCCTTTTTATGAGTTTTTAAAGTTTAAGCTCTGCTCTTTTTACAAGGCTTTACCGCCGGAGACGGAAATCCGTGAAACAGGGTGAGGCGTGACATTGTTTAAGGGTCGACCTTTTCTAACCCCTTTCTTCCTTGTGAGAAGGCAGCATCATTGCAGATGCTCGTTGTCCGAGGGAAACACCTTACAGCTATTACACCCCTCTACAGTCAACAGTACGATTTCGCCCTCAGACCTTCAGTAGCTGCTTTTAAACTCATCGTTCTCGAAACGACCTACCTGGCATGCTAGGACCTACAAGAACATATATCGTAGCCAATATAGCTCGGTTGGGTCATCACGATAGGCAAGTCCGACCAGCTCGTCAAGGTAGCAGCTACGGCCGGAAACTTGAACTTATGTACGTACATACCAAGTTCTACACCGTAACTTACTAAAATGAATTCACTCTAAATTAAAATCGGTATTTCCAGGAAAAGGATTATGAAGTTGAAAATTATAGGTCTATGAACAAAACTTCGAGATACAATTTATTAGGTATGTAGACCTAAGGTATAAAATGGTTGAAGTCGAAAAACTAACGCCTTTACTTTTGTTGAATTACTACTCAATCAAGATGATATAGAATAAACATTCATAAAAATCATTTGTAAGTGGACTGGATTAACATTTCTCAAACTTCGGTGCATGTACAATCAATTTTTCGGCTATATGGAAATACAATTTTCATTTACGTAGATGAAATACATGAACGAAATTATTAAAATGGTACATTTGTCAAAATCGAGAATTGGCTTCCCCATTTAGGATAGAAATAACTAATTGCTTAAAATATACAAAAGCTTTTTGATACATCCAGTAGTAGCAGTGAGAATAATCTGTGGTAATATTTTTTTTAAAAATCAAACGTTTAATATAGATTTGACGTAAGAAAATAGTGAATGCATATATTAGATGAGCTTAATAGATGCATCAAAAAATAGCGAAGGAAATAACTGTACATAAATCAAAATAGAATATTATTTCTGAATGCCAATCGAATAATGGTATGGATGACGGGGAAATGCATAGTTTCTTATTTTAAGAACAGTAAACAGCGAGGAGATATATTTTAAAATAAGATATGATAAGAAGAAAACCCAGTCTCCTTCGGATGAAAGGAAAAAGGAAATTGTTAAACGAAAAAGCCAGAACTGGTACACGTAGAAGTGCGGAGGCTGTCTATGTTATCAGTTTCGGCCCTTATATAACCGTTTGGTGATTAAGACAGATTTGGTGTTAAAAATATGCGAGCAACTTATCCATCTGATTCTGTTAATGACAGATTCTTTGGGTTAAATCATTCTACAAATTTATAAAATTGAATCAAGTTATGAAAATTTCGATAAAGCAAAGAGAATTTAAAGTAGGCGATTTACCATTTGGGAGACAAACACTTGAAATAGACACACTTCATGTACAACCTAATATATATATATATATATATATATATATATATATATATATATATATATATATATATATATATATATATATATATATATATATATATAACTTTGCATCTGGGATTTTTCAGGTTGCTTACGCATAATCAAATCGAGCATAGATTAGTATTCAAGAACAGAAGTCACATTTATATCAACAGGATTAAGAAACACGGTGTTCCGTTTCAACCTCATTAAGCGTAGAAGATAAATGGCTGCAATGATTTCATGATGTTCATGGAGTACAAATACTTACTTTCAACAATTCTGAATGATATATTTATATTGTCATGTTTTCGATTTGATTGATACCTATTTCGTCTCGTGTGAGAGCTGTCCACGTCACGGAAGGGCTCTGGGTTTCAGGAGGGGCATCGGCCCCGTGACTTCCGAAGGAACTCAGCTTTCAACCATGAGACGTCATAACTCGTCTAAATAAAGACCTTCTAACTCCCAGGACAGAGTTTAAATGGTTAGAATGATTTTTTGCTTTAGATTTTTTAGCTAGTTTGGTTTTCTACGGATAGCATGGCCAAAGTCAATCCTTTTCCTCTATCCGGGCTCGGGACCGGCAGTAGCCTCGGAAGGGCTCCAGGCTGATGATAGTAATAGGTGGTTACAGACCTTGGGTAACATGGTTCAATACCGTTTGCAATGGCGCAGGTACATCGACTGGTTGTGTCCTGTCAAATCTTAATCTTCTGAATTCACGACCGTTTTTTCTTTTTTTGATTGGGGTATCAGTCAGTTGCAACGTAGAACTTCGTACGTAAGTACATCAGTTCATGTCGCCATACCACATCAGCACAGAGATATAATTGTCAATTCAAATCCAATAGTAGAAGAGGTAGTAAAGGTATTAGAAGTAATCGGAGAGGTTAGAATTAGAAGATATTATTCACGAAGTGTGATTCAATGAGATAAGTTTGGAAAGTCAAAGCTAGAGGTGTTGAAGAATCCAGAAGATTAGGATTTGAGAGAACTCAAAGAATAAATGCACTGGCGCCATCGCGAACGATTTTGAGCCATGTCATTCAAGGTCTCTAGCCATCGATTATTATCATCTCGCGGACCCCAACCAGGTAGTCGACAATTACCGACATGGCTAAGTCCACTCGTCAATGACTTCATGGATTTATGCCATGTTTTGGTCTGGCCGCCCCTAGCTTTCTTCCGACCTACTCCTACACTACAAAAACATAGCTAGAGACAGTAGGTGGTTGGGCATTCGTAACACATGTCCTAACCACCTCAACTGATGAAGTTTCACTACTTCATCTATTGGTCTGCCATCCCTACATAGAAATGGTTTTCTAACGACAGCATTACTTACTCGGCTGTCCCAAGATATACGAGTAATACTTGGAACTCATCTTTAATCGAATACTAATAGCCTACGAATGTCTTCTACTCTTACCGGCTACGTTCCGCATCGGTATAGTAGGACGGAACGAACTGCGGCGCAGTACACTCGCCCTTTCATTAGCAAATGGATATCTCGCTTGCGTCATAGGTAACGCAGGTTGGCGAAAGCCAATCGAGATTTCTGTATCCATGCCGCGATTTCGTCAGTCACCGAGATAAGTGAAGCGGTCTACACGCTCAACTACTTCACTCCCTATCACTAGTTCAGGTGCCGATGTAACCCAACCTTGAAGCAACACTTTGCATTTCAAGGGGGAAAACCGCATCCCGTACATGCTTGCGGTTCTGCGTTGTAAATGACTGTCTTGTTTTTATTAAATGCACTAAAAGGTTAAATGTATCAAATTACGGTCTAAGCGGCATTCGATGACCCAAACCCACAGGAAAAACATTCCATAGTGTAAAAGTATCATGTACAAACTACCAGGAATTATTACGAGAAATGAAATCTTATCTACTTCAGGTAACTGAGTTGTATTTTAGGCCATTGTGGTATAACACAATCCAAAAGGATTGTTTTTCTCTTATTCACACTCATTTTTTGACAAACGATAACAGAGGTAAACATTGGTTTCCTCAATTATTACTTTATTACATGATCACTTTCAACTTGGTGTGATTAAAAATGCAACGTGCATAAACAAATCATATCAAGTTGGTGGGAATAAAAGAAACTAACCAAAGGTTCCAGTTCCTTTTTATCGATCAGATCGAAATAAGTTACAAAATAGTAGAAATGCTTGTAGCAAGTGTTGACATGAGCCTCCTAAATGTGATGATTAGGAGAGAAAACACATACCGCTCCTATCTCATGCAAACGATCGAAGTGATGGATATAGACATGTACAAACACTCGGAACAACCTGCCAAATATTTTTTTAACAGTTGGAATGTAGCATTTTGGGAAAGGAACACCTATGAATCCACATTATATATGAAATACAATACCTATATCAGTCGGGAAAAGTGATGGGTCATTAATCTGCGCATCAACCCAGTCCATCAACTCATCAATATATTTAGGTGCCGGTAAAGGAGTTGGTTTTTTGTAGTGAATATTATCGCGCCAATGGTATTCAAACTTTTTGCCCCCAGACATAGTGGGGCACGTCTTCTCAGTGCAACGATCACATATGGTCCCGTATATGAGGTTGATGCGATTATAAAAGTCAACAACTAAAAAGGTATCAGTCGATATTTATATTTACCGTGAACCGCAATCCAGTCATTTAGTTCCTCATCATCAGGCTTTTTCACCGCTTCTCTGAGATCGATTCCCGCGCTTAGCGAAGCCTCTGCATGTTTGTGCAAGTGATAACGAATAGTATCTGGTGCAAACTTTTTCTTCGGACGAAAAGTCTTTCAAAATAATTGCCATCACTAACCAAATACTACCTTTTGTTTGACAAAGATCTCTTTAAAGCCGTTGAAGGCCATCACTCAAATAATGTGCGTGACCTTATGATTAGGCGGTGTTGGGTGAAGGATTTAATCGAGATTTCTGCGTTGAAAACACAAAACCAATGAACTTTGTTTATCCCTTTCTTTAAGCTTCTATGAGTGTCTCTTCTTTTCTCGATTTAGTGATTTAGAGGTGTTACATTCCAGTTGTATAACTTCCACTAATGCTTCCCTGATACTTTTAGATCCATTTCCCTTTCTTCCAGTACGGGCCATTGAATTAATCGACCTGACATCTGTCTTGCAAATGTTCAAGAGGGTAGGTATATTAAATTGAGATAACATAGTAACAATGAACTTGAATAGAATACATGAATGGTCTTATTTTGACTTGACTAAAATCACTGCCATGAATAAGGAGTCCAGAGTAAAAGAGAAATAATATTTTTGGTATACATTGCTTATGTTACAGCTAGAGCGATTTATGTTTTTAACAATTTTTAATAAAACGACTTTAGAAGAGTACCGAAAGGAGGGAGGCACAATCACTTATCATAAAATTCACAACTTTTATTAGGTTTGCAGTTTACTGAAGTGCAAATCGTCTAAAACATATACAACAGAAAGACTGCTCTGAAAATCTTTCTGCAGCCCTTTATTGAAAGGTGTAGTTGTTTTGTATTTAAATTTCATTTATCACTCTTATAACTATGTATTACATTTGTCACTCATCGGTATTAGACTTTATCAAATGTTTATTATTCTGATTACTGTTGCGTATTACCAAGCCATTGATAATTAGGTCGTGCATAACTAAAATGAAGGGTGTGGTATTGTTCTTCGAATTACTGTTGGCCTTCGGCTGCGTGATGGAAAAGGTTGCTAATATCCTTATGTTTAGATTTGATCCCATCGTGTTGGGAAAACTCTCGTAGATTCACTGGTATTAAACTCTTATTTATGTACCATTACTTTTTCTGTTTAGTACTCTGTTTTATCGCGAGGATCACCTACCACTGTATTATCCAGGATGGACTGTTTGATTTGAGCACAGAGTTTGTGTTATGATAAAACTTACTACTAGCCACTAAAAAGCGCCCCATACGCTGTAGGTAAGAAGGTAGTTTAACTAAACAGAATGAACTTGGTCCGTCAGCTCCACGCTCAGACCAAATACCTGTAATTTGGTTGTTGGATCTTACGTTAACTAACTGAATATCATGCACTTTACATTTCAACTAGTATCTTGTTCATGATTTGCCTAATGTCCTGGCAAATCGCAATATGGATACTGTGTACTTATTATGGATTGTGTATACAACCCAGAATAGTTTGAAAGTCCATCAACTCCTGATTCTGACGATGCGAGAGCTATAAGGAATCACATTTATTCCCCCTGGTGATGTCCGCTGATTCTAACTTCTGTATACTCGATTTTTAGGTGGCCAGCTAAGTTCAGTCCAGAGCAGGTATATATTTCGGTCTCTTTGAAGAGTGTCTAAGCTATAGATCTGCCTCCATCGTGGAAGCGAGAGCCAGCCTGGGAGGGCGTATGTGCTTGGCTGTGGGCCTCAGGTTCCTTACTCATTCTGGCATCAACTTCGCTTAACGGTGATGCTTTGCTGACTGGAAAATGCTATGTGCTGAGTTGTAGTTACAAAAAGAATGCAGATGCTTAGTTACCGAATTTCTCGCCGAATATAAAGGTCGATTCCTGTTAGGGGTTCACTTATAGAGAACCTGTCATTCGTATTATTATAACAGTAATAATCTTTCAAATTTGACAGACGTACCTTCATCTTCTGTAGTTTGTGAAATATCAGTTAAGTATTTAGTTAAGCCTAGGCGACACATTTAACATCCTCTGAACAGAAATTAATTATTGATTGTGCTTTAGGGAGTTCAGGACGATGGACTGTAGCAGTACTCCTCCTGTATTCATCAGTACTGCTTCTGAAATGAGTAAGTTTCTGTCTAATTTATCACCCCTTCTGGCAGTGCGAGAGACCTGAATATCACTAAGATCTTGAGTGCTCATAGCTAGTGAACACCAGAGATGCATTCCCTGTAAAGTCTTGAACCTATAGCCCCTCACATATGTTTTGCACTTCTATCATTATTGAGCTTGTATGTGCATGTGTGCTTCGGCTTTACTTACCACTTACGCATATAATCATTTGACAAACTTTATCGATTAACTGTTGAAATAATTTGGTGGCAATATCGACTATATATATATATATATATATATATATATATATATATATTCGAATCAATCACTATATATTTTGGATGATAAAAAATTGTGGCAACGACTCGTGTTCTATAGTAGCGGTCCACAAGACGGAGATATACGGAATGTAGAAGATAAAGAAAGTCCGACACCACAAACTCTATTCGAACCAACTCCTTTTCATTCCATATATTCTTCACTTTTTTATTATCTAGTGAAAGCAAGATGTCTCGTAGAGCAACGCCTTTAGTAATCCTTTAAATATCTACGGAAATAGAACCAGCGTCAAATATATTTTGAAGTGTTCAGCCCCATTAATCTCATCTCCGTTGAGAAGCTCCTCAACTGAATAATCCATACAGATACCAATTTTGGCGCGAGATCGTTCTCGTACTATAGCAAGTGAGCGCTATCTTGCAAACGACTAAGTGCTGAGACTTATTAGTTATCTATTAGGACTAAAAATGTATTGGCAGTTTGACGCGTGCAAACTACAATCCCCTTCTGTCAGTCCGCTTAAATATCTCATACATGTCTTTTTGGGTAGCTTAAGAGACAAGTGTACCTGATATTTTCCCACAAACTTAGCCACTATCCGCAATGTCAACAGTCTGAGGATCTGGAGGGCTAAGAAGGTTGTCGATGGGAGATAACAAGATGAGGAGGAGATATCAGTTGACCAATGTCTGCATGATAGAGTATTCTGTTTGCTCCTGGCACCTTGTGGAGAAGTTATTGCGCAAAGAAGTCTGTGTTACTTTCCTGTGTGTAGTGCTACTTTGTCGCGCGTTTAAAAACTTTGTTTGCTTTGTTAGTTATTTCCATAACTAATCGTAGTTATGTTATAACCAACCAATCAGATTGTGGTCTGAGCGCCCACCACGTGATCTGATCTGAGATGTCTGTAAACTTTCTTTGTTTTTAAATGACCCACTAATTGAAAGACATTATTATCTTATTATATTGATGTGAATCATGACTTTGTTCATTTGATTTTACGTCCAGAAACAGATAAAGTTTAAAGAAAAAATTGGTCTTGTTCTGACTATAGCTTTTCCACAGACTCTGTGCTCGCCAATATTGATTTTACAGTTCTAGAAGTACATCTGTGGGACGAATTGAATCCTACAAGCTTAATCCTGATTACAGACTGCAGAATCTTTTTTGAATGTTTTGTTTTTTGGAAAATCCCTCCATGTATATATATTTGTGTTATTATATGACTGACTCTTTCTGTTGACATTTTGGTACTCCATTTGATTCCATTTTGAGATTTTATCATTGTATATTGTTATTATTTCTATATCTTGTGCTGATATTGAAGTTTTTATGTTTGCTTCTGAACTGTACATATGTTGTTTAGATTCGATTTTTAATATGGGTGCAGCCATATTTGGATTTGATACCGTAGCAATTCGGACTGGAAGCACTTATTCTTCCAGAAACGGATACCCATCAGGGTAAATTGGATTTGGAAGCTGTAATAATTGTTGCGTAACTGTCTGTGTTTCCATTTTATATTGAATAAAGACCGTTTTCTCCCAGAATTATTGTGTTTTGGTATTGGATCTGGGACGTCGAGTACCAACCTGCACCTATTGAAAACGGAGTGGACTGCTGGGGTAGAAAATCCATCTATACAGACCCCGTTACAAATCGAACTAGACTATTCACAATACATTATTTGAAACAAATTAGCGATGGACACAAAAAACATCATATTTAGGTATTTTCGCTGAACAACCATGCGCTTTCCCTCATGTTTTCCATTCAGATTATTCTACAGTAGCTTTTTATTTGTCGTAAGTCAACATCTGTAAAGTGCGTTCAAACCCATATACTTAACTTCAGGCATCTTTAAGAGCTGTCAAATTTTCATGAGTGAAAATGTGGATATTTCTTTTCATAAAAACGCGTGTTTTCAAACGCTTACTGATACAACAGTAAAGACGGAAGACCTGACAACCATATGCTCGAAAGACAGCCCGTTACTAACTTGTACTCGGCAAGCAGTAATAACAATGACCGATTGCCTTCAGTTCAAAATTTGTCGTTATTTCAGTTAAGACATTTCTTGCTATACATGCACAGCCAGATCAGATCGAACCAGTGAATGGAAATTAGCAACCATACATGAGCGGGCCAAAAGGGGCAATGAATAAAGGATTTTGTATGTAGTAAACTGTCGAAAAAATAGGAATGATAAATCTTATGATAATAACTTATCTACCGACAGGAAGCTTGTGATAAAAAGGATATAGATATTATAGTCTAGTTAGTAAATAAACATGTAATCACCAGATGCAAATAGGACAATATAAAAATGGCTTGTACTATCTGTAACCTTCTATTTGAATGGTCCCTCACAATGTTTACATGACGACGTAACTGAACAACCAAAAGAAATTACGCGACGCTTAAAATAATTTATTCTTGTATTTAAAGTGAAACGCCTTGGGTAATCATTATCTGAAAATCAGTAGTAATAATTTTCATAGTTATTAAAAAGGAGGTGATCCAAGAATTGGGCTTTCTATTATGCTGTTTACCATCCTAAACCATCATCCAAAATATAAAGTGATTGATTCGAATATATATATATATATAGTCGATATTGCCACCAAATTATTTCAACAGTTAATCGATAAAGTTTGTCAAATGATTATATGCGTAAGTGGTAAGTAAAGCCGAAGCACACATGCACATACAAGCTCAATAATGATAGAAGTGCAAAACATATGTGAGGGGCTATAGGTTCAAGACTTTACAGGGAATGCATCTCTGGTGTTCACTAGTGTTCATCTCTGGTGTCCAGCTAAGTAGTTAAGACACTTCAGAAAGCCCATATGGTTTTACTCCATGATTTACTGTGCACTGAGATCTGGAAGTGATAGAGATTTTAGGGGGTACATCTGAACATATGAATC